GTGCAACCGCAAAACATAGAACACGGGAATGAAGCCACGTGCAACATCATCATCATCATCATCATCATCATCATCATCATCATCATCATCACCACCAGACTGAAAAGCATAGGCTATAAATCAACAACATTCAGATGGATTTGTGGATTGGATCTGAGACCCGGGGTGTGTTCCACACTCCCGGAATGTGTGCATGTTGTGAAACCGCCAAATATTATTGACAGTTTGTGCGCCACCAAACCAGTTGTGCACCTGGCACACAGAAAGTGAAACTTGAGAAACACTTGCCACGAACACACAGAGAGATACTCTCATAGCAGTATTTTCATCGATATTTGCTCAACCATGTTCAATAATCCTCGATAGATGAGAGGTCCATTTACTCTGTACTCTGTTTTCTATTTTTCTCCCTTCCCCCTATATATATCTCTCTTCAGTTTTGTCAAACGTGTTCGGGGACACGAACTACCACTCGTGCTGATTCTCCCATGCGACCCCTTCAAACCTCCAACCTGTTGGCTATCATCGTTTCGGACATCACATCTGATTTCTGAACAATACGCAACTATAGACACACACACACACAGATACAAACAGACGGCAAAACGTTGAGAGGACCAATCTTTGTTTTCAATTCACAATCTCATGGCAGTGAATCACGAGTGTGCCAACCTGTCCTCGTTGCCCGATGAGGTCAAAAAACTACAACAAATGAACGACAAATTGTTTGCCCAAATGCAAGGATGTGATCTGAGACGACTGAGTGAGAGTACCACATTCCGCAACGGTTGCCTTTCTCGTCCCGAATCCCAGTCCACTCTACTCACGGTCCGGGATCCAGGAACGCCTCAATCAGTGCAAAAATCGCCGCACACATGTGATCATCCGAGCAATAGTTTGACCCTGAGCAATCTCTCCTCGTCCTCATCAACACACAGTCCGAATCATGTGAAAATGGATGAAAATTCCTCCTCCATCGGTTTGACTGTTCGCGCCGGATCCACTGTCAGTCCGCCGCCGGGATTCGTGAATCCATTGGACTATTCCACGCATCCCAGATCGTCAGATCCTTGTCGTGGCGATGATGGTCCTGTTACTGGGGGCAGTTCTGGTGGAGCCGGTGGCGGTGGCGGTGGAAGCAGTGGCGCAAGTGGAGGACACACATCTACACGAGTCTCACCAGCAATGAAATCCGGATCAAGTTGTGCTTCCTACATTGGTTCGTTCAGTTCTTCCAGTTCCCCGTCCCCTTCGTTGCCGGATACCTGTTCTGCCTCGTTTCATCCAGATCCAACTTCGACATGGAAATCGTTGGCGTGCAATACACCTCCATTCCATGCGGCTAAAAAACCGTGTCTGGGTTCGACTACCACTACTACCGGTCCGATGAACACAATGACTGACTACGGCGGTTCGTTCCGGTCCACAATCTCCGAACTAACCGGACATTCGATGAACTCGGGCCCCGCAATCCCCGGACCGGATAAGACACCGATTAAACGTCGTGGGCGAATGCGAAAAGATGCATTCCCAACCAAAGGTTGTCTAATGGACCCAAACGAACCGACCACAAATGGTGGACTTATGGGTCACGAGGTATTATCCTCCGCACGAACGACAACCTCAAATGCAACCAGCGGTTTGGGTCCGAAGAAAATGCCTGACCAGTTGAAAAGCTCTTTGAAGCGTCATATGCCCGGTACCCTGGGTGTGACAAACAGTACCCGCGGTAATGTTTCCACGGCGGCCTACAAATATCTGACCTGGCGCGAGAAAGATCGACGACGACGATTCCGTGAAGAGTGGAAACATTTGTGGTTGGTCATTCCGTACGGACGATATGAAGTAAGTCTGATCAATCAATCAATCAATCGCGCCCGGTGTGC